TTTTGATGTACAAATCGCAAATTAGGGTAGGAGTAATGTTAAATAGGGGAAAATCGGGGAGAAATTCAATTAGGAAGGGGAAAATAGCCGTTACTAGCCGTTAGGTGGGCCCCACTCACCTGAAATCAAACGGAAAATTGAAAAAGGTGGTAATCTGCATAAAAAATTATTTTAGTGGGTGGTAATTTAAAATAAAATTTTAATTGGGTGGTTATTTAGAAATTGATACTATTTTTGGGTGGTAATTTGCAAATTTTCCTATTTATTATGCTGTATTTTTCTATTATTAATAGATATAGGAAATTGTTTAATGTACAAAGTAATAGTATTTTGTTATAGATTTGTAAAATATGTGAATCAAAACTATCACAGTGATATAATTTGGTGAGTATTTTGTATATATTTAATAATAGTATATAATAGATTTTTGTTTTTAGTATTATATATCTAGATAGATATAAATATATATTAAATATTTAATTTGTAAGTAATGTAGATATCAATCAATCATCAATAACTATATACCAAAAGATACACCAGCAATGACACGTGTTATCTTTTGGTGTGTCCTTAGTTTTTTTTTTATTTTTTATTTTTTTAGAAAAAAAATCAATTTAAAAAACAAATATTTTACAAATTTAAGGTACTAATTATGTAAAAATTATAATAGAAGATTTAATGTATTTTTCAATAAAATAACATATTGACAATATAAACTTAAAAAATAATATTATTAACATAATTTATGACATATGGAGTATATTTTTTAGGAAACACATTTTATGTACTACATACGTTAATTACAACAAGGTTTTTTATTCTTAATTATGTAATAAAAGCTACAAACTTAAACAATAAAATACAAATATCAAATCAAGAAATGATTCTTTCATTATTTTCTTAAATAATTTATGAATATAATTTTAATCAAGTAATACTCTAAGGAAACTTCAATAATGCTTGCCAAGAACGACACATGTTGATTATTTTAAATGTTATTTTTTCCAACAATTTTTGTTGTTGTTCTTTAGCATTCAATTGATATAAATATATCATACAAAAGTCATAAAATTTGATATAGTGTTAATTTGAAAAGTAGTTATTTTAAATTACTGTGCATGGCACGAGGCTTAACCTAATTTGAAATAATTTTAAGTGATGTTTTAGAGTATTGGAATACTATCTCATTAGGTGAATGTGTATGGAAGAATTAAGATGAAAAAATAACTATTAATGAATCATAAAGTATTGGGTGCGACAAGCCGCACCCAGCGTTTCGTCAGTCGGAAGAGATGACGATGACAATGACGATAAAGACGACAATGACAATGATGACAACAATTGTGGATCTCCTTCTCTCTCTGTAGGCGATGATGACGATGACAATGATGACATCAATGGCGAAGGAGAGAAGCGAGATCATTCATAGCGGAAGAGAGAGAGTTTAATTCTCGATTTTTTTTTCGTAAAATGCCCGAAAAATTTAATTGGGGCTTTCTTATGTGATGTATAATTATTGATATTGATTCTTCCATATGATTGTATGTTGAATTTTGAGCATTTTGATAACATATGTATGTTTTTTGGTTGAGAAATAAGCAAGTTATGTTATACCCAATATATATCCTCCATCAAATAATTTGTATCCTCCTATAATTTATACATATCCTCCACTGGCTAGATCATATCCTCTATTGGCTATATGATATCATCCAGCAAATAGAGGATATCATCCAGCAAATAGAGGATATCATCCAGGTAGTAGAAATATCATCTAGTGAATAAAGGATATCATATAGCTAATAAAGGATATCATCCTGTTACTAGAGGATATCATCCAGCCGATAGAGGATATCATCCAAATTAGGATTAATTAGAAGCTTCTATAAGTTTCTAAAAGATCTTAATTATCCTTTAATCTTCAATGGAGGTTCTGCCATTGTTATACATATCATCAAACAAATTATACATATTCTCAAACAAGATATATCACCTATCCAATAAAGGATATATATCATACAATTAGTAGAGGATATCATCCAGCCAATAGAGGATATCATCCAGGTAGTAAAAATATCATCCATCTAATAAAGGATATCATATAGCTAGAGGATATCATCCATCCAATAGAGGATATCATCCAACCAAATGAGGATATCAAAAGGCCGCATTATATTTTGTTAGTCCAAACTGACGAAACAATATTTAGAGAAAGATTAGCATTGTCTTGTGTTAAATTTTTTTTTTCCATGCCACATCATTTTTTATTTTTTAATATTTTATAATTATGTTAAGACTCTTTAAGATTCAACTAAATTTTAATTTTCATTCCTCAAACTCATTTAAGATTTGGAATAATATTATGATGCTTATATTATACTAAAACTCTCAATGAAGATACTATTTGGATGTTGGTGTAGTGGTGATTGGGACTACACTTGTAGGGAGGATATGTGTTCGATTCCTCGCAACAACAATTCAAGGGGGACTAAAACCTAACCACCCAGAATTGATCCCCGAAGCTGGATTAGCCCAAAGGGTGATATGTGTAGAACAAAAAACCAAAAAAAAAATCAATAAAGATTTTGACAAAAAAAAAAGGGATTGAGTGTTTTTGAAGGAAAAAAAAAACTGCATGTCATTGCTGGTGCTTGTTTTAAAGTTATGTTATGGAAATTTTGATAATTACCACCATCTATAGTAGACAAAATTTAAATTACCACCTCAATTTATTTTTTTTATTTTTTATTTTTTATAATTTTTTTTTAAAGTTTTTTTCGAAAACTTTTAAAACTCCCGCCTATTTGATGAATGATGTCATCATGGGGCCCAATTTCGCGTTTTTCCTCTCACCTCCATCGAATTCACTGTTTCCTTGCCTTCCTTCTCCCATTTTTCGAATTCTTCTTTGAAATTCGATTTCAATTACTCAAATTAGGTTTACATTTCTGCAATCTTACCTATTTCGAATTGAATTGAATAGGGTAATTAGGGTTTGTGGGTAATCAATTAAGGGGTTTTGCTAAAATTGAAAAATTAGGATTTATAAAATGAAAATTGGACAATTAAACAAGTAATTGGGGCAAAAACACAATTAAATCATGCAATTTGGGCAAGGGAGACAGGGTAATTCGAGGGAGGAGAGAGGGAAAGAGAGGGAAAACGCGAAATTAGGCCCCATGATAACGTCATTCATCAAACAGGTGGGAGTTTAAAAAGTTTTGGAAAAAACTAAGTGGTAATTTAAAAAAATTAAAAACGTGAGGTGGTATTTTCAATTTTGCCTACTATATAGATGGTGGTAATTATCAAATTTTCCTTGTGTTATTGGTTGATATTACAACATTTACACTTTTATTTATATGATTCTCTTCAACCACATTGTATCAATTATGTTAAATCCCTACCTTATGAAAAGTAGAAAATAACTCTTAGGAATAGTGTGCTACCAACTATACCCTCAAAAATATGTACAAAAATATATATTCAGTAATATGTTTACTCTCATTAATTATTTAATTGGGTTCTTTTTTCGTTAAACATACCATAAATTAATACAAAGTTTTTTTTAACAAAAACTTGTAATGCCTTTTTTTAAAATAAAAAAATTATAATGTTTTGTACTTCATATGTTATTATTGTTATTTAAAAAGGAAACAAAATTGTATGTACGAAGACTTTGTTTATTACCGTGAGATGATTTATTTTTACTGCTTCGTGGTTGCTCTTCTTATTTACAATTTTGTTGTCCTTTAATTATTATAAATATTGTTAAGGTTTATTAGCTTTTTAATTGTACATTATTTGATGGCACGCACATAAACAACGTGAAATTTAAATGACATTCATATTAAATAATGATATTTGAGCAGATGTTATCAAGAGGTGTAAATAACTTTAAAATCCTAAAATCGAAGGAAATCAATGATAGAAAAAAAATGTATTAAATATGGAGAGAATTTAAGAGAAAAAATATAACTAAGTGATTATTGCTTTAGTATTAGATATAGATATTAGATGGTCGTAGAACATTGAACTTACATTATTAAGTTTTTAGCTACAACGAACATTTCACATATTATTACTCCGTATCACCGAGCTCACAAAAAATTCGTTTGAAGAAAAATACGTTAAGTATTATTGAATCATGTAAATCAATTAAGAGTTCTAAACTAGCTTAAGATATGAAGGGATGCAAATCAATCAAATATTATTTAATAATAATTTTGAAATAACACTGCAAAACTTTTGAGGGTTTTACAAAATAATTATCATTAAAGATTTTGGTGGCTTTTTTATATTTCTACAAAACCACTATATAGGCACATAAACCAAATAATACGTATTAAAACTACCAGATCTACCACCCAAACCAAAGATGTAACTATGCGCTAATACAACTTTTATGCAAGAGCTAACTCTTTCGTGCCCATCGCGCGCGAGCCCTTTATTTTTGACTTTTTGCCGTTGGTGGCCATTGTAATTTTTTTAATGATCACTAGTAGTTTTTAGAGCTCATGCCTAAGTCTGTGTATGAGTCCAGGCAAGGCGTGAGCTTCAAAGCCAGTTTGATCCAAAGAGCTGTGATCATGTGAAGCCCAAAAAACAGCAGGCGTATCTTCTTTTAGGCTTGAGAATGTCATGAAACAACCCCATTAGGTTTTAAAAGGTTGATCATATTATGTTGGCCCACGTTAGGCTAATTACCATTAGGTTGCATTAAATTATGGAATTCAAATTCTTATTTATTTTATTTGGATACAACGCCGGAGAAGAAAATATATGATTTATATAAACACCTAAGCTAAAAAATCCCGTCTCCTTGTCCTCTGTAAATACCGTTGTTTTACTGGTCTGTTTACGTGAATGTATTAAAAATAAATTTAAATTATAATTCCTTTCATTATCTAAATTCCTAATGATGACACACACAATATAATGTATCCATCCCTTGTCTTGTTACTAAATTATGATAACGTAAGAGGTAAGAAAGCTAGTAGTAGCTTAAAATCATGCTGTTTTATGATATATTTAAGGACTCTTCTCAATACTATCACAAAAAACATTATATTACAGATGAATTGAAGTTAACATAATAGTGTTTGAATTGTTTAAAATCTGTCTCCTTACTATGATCATGGATCCGTTCATACAAATAACCTAATCTAAAATCCAAGGGAAACCAATTAAAATAATAAGAAATAGAATGCATCTTCATTGTAATCAAATTTAAATTTCAAGGTTGTTGATCTATCATATTTTTGGGAAGCCATTTTGTTCTAGCTCGAACGATCTCAGCTCTATCATCTTGCATACGAAGAAGATGAGTGCTTTCAATATCTTTGGTAATGGTAGTTAAAGGATCAGCATTTTTCATGGTAGTCAAGGATTCAAGTACGTTGGCTTGCCTACATTCACGTCGATATTCTAGTGTCATGCTTGTCATGTCGTAATCTTGCAACACATTCAATGGTACACTCTGCAAGCAAATTCAAATTTTGGTCAGCCCATGTAAAGAAGTTATTATTGTTGCTTCATACTTAAAAATTGTTGCTTCAGAGAGTGAGGGATAGCTTAAGTGGTTAGAGTTTCCCTCTCGGCTCCAGAAGATTCTGTAATCGATTCTCATCCCTGTCCTTGTGGCTCTCTAACCCCCCCTCCCCCAAAAAAAAGTTGCTTAAATGGGGTTAAGTTGTTTTAAGTATGTTGACTCTGCATAATTGACCTATACCACATGTCCGGATTTCTATTTGTCAACTTAGAAGTTTTTCATTTAAAAAACGGAGGAAATATATGAAAAAAAAATGAAACTACCAAAACTATAGGCTAAGAACCTACTTTGAGACTTGAGAGCTGGTTCTATTTGGTACCCATTTTGAAAAAAGGTGTAATAGTACTTGGTTGATTATGGGCCCATAATTTTATGAGCTAGGATAGGTTCCTAAAGCATACTGTATGGATCCAAAATCGGCACCATGGTCTACTTGTTTTCGACATCAATCGATTTCGATTTATATATGCGAAGTATATAGGTAGTAATTTAAAAAATAAAAAAAATCAGTAATAAAACAGATCACTAAGATCACCTTCTCTATCCTCATCCACTCTCACTAGAGACGGGGCTATAAATGCTAACACTGAAAGTGGTCCGGTGTAATTTTGTTAAATTGAACCCTAAAATCATTTTTATAGGATAAATATGTTACTAAATTAAAAAATCAGGACCCTAGTAGTTTCACTTAGGGGTTTGTACGATCGACCACCCTGCACATGCTCAGAACTACCCTTGACTCTCACTACCACTAACAATCAGCCTCCATCAACAACATACCGCCACCACCAAACATCAACAACCACTCCTACCACATTGAACAACATTTGCCAGTTGCCATTGAATGCATAACCACTCTTACTATATATCACCAACCTTCCATCCTTCAATATTTGTCAATTAACAACCACCGGTTACTTATTGTTCGATTTACAACCATCATAGTTGTACAAATGTACAATTCATTGAAAAATTTTCTTAAACAAAAAAAAAATCAAAAATCAAAAAAAAAATGAGGGTGGCAAACGCCCCCTCACTGCCTCATCTATGTCGTGGCGTCCTCAACTTACATCATATTCAAATAACAAGTCAAGTTATAATTTAAAATTAATTGTCAATTATATTGTTGTAATTAGTTTAGGACAGAAGGACTATAAATCCTATGAAATAATGAAAACCTACCTCCAAAATCCAGCCAATGTACTTGACGTTGTTTACGTGCTGGTTAGCATCCATATCGTTCCATCTAGGCTGCATTTATAACCAAAAATCAATATATTAATAGAGTATAAAATATATTCGTGGACCTCAACCATTAGCTTAAGCTTTTGGTTGAATCGCTCTACTAACAGTTTATACCGTGTTTCTTTCCTTATCTTACCATATATATCACATTTGGTCCCATAAATACCATGTACATATTCGCTCAAAATCATATAGCATAAAAATTTTCAATTATTGATGAGAAATTAAAGAATTACTTACAGCTAAGCCAGATTGAATAATATCAGCTGTGTCATCAGTGAGTTTGTTGATTTTATCAGGATCATCATCTCCATTTGCAAATACATATCGATTTAAATAAAAGGGTTCGACTTCCTGTCGAACTTCATCTGGGATTTTTGATAATCTCCTTGTTTCTCTGTTCATGGTCACCCATGTACTGCCAATTTTTAATGTAAATCAACAAAAAATCAAATAAATTAGACAAAATAATAGCCTAGACAAAAGTAATTAAGTTAAAATGATATAAAGTATTAATAACTCAATATGATTTTACTTCATTTCATATTAATTAACAATACAGAGTTTCTACCAAAATCATCTCAATCTATATGATAATGGAAAAACTTGTACAAAAATGATCACAATAAAACAGTTAGTATGTCAATTTTTTTTTTTTTAATTCATGTAATTTGAAATTAATATGAAAGGAAGGAGTATGAACTAAATTGTACCTGCTTTTTTTTTTTAAATTCATGTAATTTGAAATTAATATGAAAGGAAGGAGTATGAACTAAATTGTACCTGTTTTTTTTTTTTTTTTTTTTGAAGCAAAACTAAATTGTACCTTGTTGCTCGAGTTATGACATTTTGAGTTCTATAGTCTCGAATAATCCAATCTCTACGCATTCCATTTTTGCCTGCTGCATCAACCCATGTATCGATTTCAACTACATCTCCCCTATAAGTAATGAAATTAATCATCTTTTTTGTCAATCATGCATTTAGTAGTAGATTACGTTGAAGGTACTAAACAATTACGAATAACCAGAGCATTTTTTTTTTTTTTTTGAAATCATAACCAGAGCATACCATGAGCTATATTTGTTAACTTGGACATGTACACGGGTCACAACCCAAATGAGTTTCCTAAGACTCATCTCTCGTGTTGCACCAAACCCGTTTCCAGCTAGTCCAGAGCTTGTTACATGATTTAAAGCTGTTTCCTGCATTATTTTCACAAATAAAAGATTAAATGCTTGATATAGTTTCGAGTTTCGACCATAAATACATACTCACAAGTCAAAACACTATCAATCCATACATAATAAACTTAAATCTTCATCGGGTTCATTGGGTCAAAGCAGCTAATACATCTAGCAAATTTTGAAGTCAACAATAACATAGATGAGATTTTCTCCTTTTGTTCTCATGTGACAAGATGTCCATATATACATCTGAACTTAGCATATAAACTAAATTGAATGACTTATAATTGAATATAAACTAAAGAACTAGTTTTCATATTCCAATGACTAACTAATTAGTAAACTAGTCTTCTAGCCTAAACAGTTGAACAAAATAAAGTCCAATAAAATAAAATAAATAAAATTAGTTCACAAAATTGTTATATAGTAGAAATTAACCAACCTGTAACAAATTCATCAATGTTTCCATAGTAGCAGTCTTATCTGGACCAATTTCATAAGATCTAATTATAAAAGTTTGCTTATAAACAAACCTTCCTTCCACAAATTTTCCCAACATACATGTTTGTGCTAAATCCTCCTCTTTATACTTTATCACTTCACATTTCTTCAACCCAACGTATGATGTTTCACCAACACTAGCACTACCATTGATCTTTTTTCCATTTACCACGACATCTATATTCGGATGAATCCTGTTGTACAATCGAAACGATTTCGAGCCATCAAAACAATTCTTATTGAACCCATTTACACTAGGAGAAAAATTACTCACAACTTCAATATTTTTCTTTCTTGAATGGAAAAGTTGAGATTTTACATAATCAAAGCTTGTGCTTTTAGCTGAAGTTGTCATATTTTTGGTGCCTTAATTTGTGTTGAAAGAAAGTTTTTTATTTTTTACTTTTTTTGGGTTATGAAAAATTGTAGTACCATGAGCGCAAAAAAGACGGGAGATGTATGGATTTTTGCGTTTTTGAGAGGATAAAAATATTCAAATATTGGTGGGAAAATAATTAAATCTTGTCAAAGTGTATTAAAGATGTTAATGAAAATAATTAAGACAAGAAAGACAATTTAACACATTGTAATGCGGTTGTTTAATAAAGTTGAACGAATTTAATAAGTAGCTCAACTACTATATCGGGTTGGCGGGAAAATATAGCTTACACGACAAATTACGCGCTTATATATTTATTTACTTATGAATTGTTGTAATGCGTTACATAGTAGTAATAATTAGCCAATTTGCAAGTTTGGTCGTTTAGATAATAATGTATTTTGAAAATAAATTTTAGGTTTAGATCAACGACTTATTTGTCCAAAACAATACAACATGCTTACCTTTGAATTTTTACATAATTACATTTGAATGTGTCTATACAAATATTTATAAAGTGTTTGAGATTTGTAAATCTTGGAATAATCTAATCTCTCTTCCAAATTTTATTTCCAAAAGTATATTTGGTATAATATATGACCAAAAATGTCTTCTACCTAAGAAATTATGCTAATATATACTTCATCCGTTTTCTTTTAGATGCAACACACCCTTTAGCGCGGTAATTAAAAAATATTGGATTTACATGATATAATAAACTTTAAAATAGGATGAGTGGTTGTTAGGAGTGTAATTTAGTGGGCCATGTGCTTTAAATAAGGAATATAGTATAGTTTTTCCCTAAAGTAACTTTCCTGCTATAGTGTGTTGCAAGTATTGTGACATTTCCTTTTTAGGGAAGTGTTGCAAGTAAAAGAAAACGGAGGAAGTATGTTAGAATCAAATCAAAGGATATTTTGATTTATCTTTATTTTAAGGGGTGTGGATCGAACCCAGGTCACTCTTGAAGGAGATGAAGGGACTAATCTTCCCTCCCCTCCATGATTCCATTAAAAAAATAATAATAATAATAAAAATATATATAATTCACGTTTTAGTAATTACCACCAATAATTTTTTTTACTTATTATTTTACTACCAACAATTGTTCAAAACCTTAAATTTACCACAAGTTTTCCTAAATGCCCTGCATGACATGGATGCTATATACAAATGGATTTAATACACATTTACATTAGTTATGAACTAAATAAACTCCTTTGGTTCATAATTGACAATTTGACAAATGTGAGATAGATAAATAGGATAATTCAGAGCATATTGAAGTTGTGAGTTAATTGGTAATTTGGTACTCTTTATTTGATTTGAACATATTTTTATTTGGAAATAAATCAATTTATTAATATCAAGTCATCCATCATCTACAACTAAAATCTAAATTAATAAATACATAAAACTAAATCAAATTAGGGTCAGGTTTTCTTTATAAAAGCTATGATCGTTGAATAATTTTTCTTATTTTAAAACAAAGTTATCTAAATTATTTTGCCTAATATTTTCCCTCTAGGGTTTCCTTGGGAGGGCGATTTTTCAATCGATTGCTAGCCTGTTCTTTTGTTCTCGAAGGTTGCATCTCGATTCTCCGAGTTGTGTTCCTCAATGGCTTCTGAACATTCCACTATGTCTCTCGAACCTATAGCAGACAAATGGAAGATCATCCCCAACCATAAAGGAGGGGAACAATGATACTGATGTTGAATAGGTGGTGTATGAGGAGGAGGAAGAGAAGGCTCGCGTGTCCCTCGCGGTGGTAAGGAAAGTCTGGACTGGCAGGAATGTGAATGCTAATGCTTTCATGACGATGATGAAACGGTTATGGAACTCTAAACATGGGCTAGAGGTCAGTTGCATCGAAAAAAATATTTTTTATTTTCAATTTCATCACTAGAAGGATAAAGAAAATGTCATGGATGCATAACAATGGATTTTGTCAGACATGCTAGTGCTAAGTAATATTGAAGGAGATATTAAACCCTTGGAAACACCTTTGCACTCAATTCCTTTTTGGATTAGGGTGTATGACCTTCCCTTCATAGGGAGGAATAATGAGGAGAATGTACGAAAACTAGGAGACAAATTGGGCACTTTCTTGACAATGGACCGTTTTTTTGGTGAGGGCATGAATAAATCATTGCAAATTTGGGTGCTTGTGGATTTAAGCAAACCGATCAAATCCTATGTTGAACTGAAGATGAGGGGAGGTGTAAAACACTCCTTCAGGATTGCTTATGAGAGGCATCCCGTATTCTGCTATGTGTGTGGTATTCTAGGTCATGGTGAGAAGGACTGTGACAGGAGCTTTGGTAATTCATCCCTGAAACGTGCTTTTAATGATTCCTCTTGAGTTGCCTCTCCTTGGCAAGTGACAAAGAAAGGCTTTGTACAAGAAGATCCACCATCTCAATCATGTGCCCTGTCTCTTTATTACAGGGATCCCTAAAGCAAGTGTGAAGGTGTTGGGAATATTTCAGGCATCCCACACTTGAGCCCCACTGTGATCATACACTTAAGCATGGTGGCGTCCCGAAGGGAAGGAAGCTAGAGTAAAAGAGTTTCCAAAAGGTTTTAGGAACTTCTAAACCGTTCACAAGGTGAAGGTTACACCCCTTCACGATCCATGAGATCGCTAACTCCATAATGGTTCGAAACCATGACTGGATATTCGGAGATGAAGGTACAAATCAAACCTAAAAGAGATTGGACCTGCCCTAAAAGTAGGCCTCTACTTTATTCTTCTCATATTCATGTGCGCTTTCTGACTAACATACAATCAATAGGTTAGCCCTAAACTTGTTTAATCTATACTGGCTAAATATTAATGCACAAACAAATCTTTTATTAACGATCACTTGAATTATAATCATATTAGCCTAAACAAGATTATTAATTATCTTATTAAACGTGATTACAAGTACAAATTCCCTTTAAACCTGCAAGAGAGGACGTGATCAAGAAATAACAATAATACATAATATCAAGCAACATATTGAATCAATAAAGCATAATAATAATAGCAAGATCCTAGGCATGATACTAACAAGTTTAAAAACAAATCCTAGCATGTCATTTAGCATTAAAGATCAAATCTTTAGCCCTAACATGATACTAGCATGATAGAAGAAATATGAAGCAACCTAAGCATGATACTAAAAATTAATACTACCTCTGCTTCGCATTACTCGCAACAAACGAATATTTTATCTCACAAATATTACCCCTTTGTTGCGAGTAATGCGAAGTGGAGGTAGTATAATTTAAACATGCTTTCTATATCAAAAGAATAATTAAGAAGTAATCTAATTACTTACTTCGATGCCTCGTATCTCTTTCTAATAACAAAATACACGCATTAGTAACTTCAAGGGAAATAACAAATCAAACAATTAATTTAAATAATTGAAGTAGTATTTGGGACCAAACCCTCAGAAATTATCAACCTTTTACGTCGAGGGCGAAGACAACTTCGAACTTGTCTAGGCGTAGGGGTGAGCGTAGCAAGGTACCCTGTAAAAATATCAGGACCCGGAACCGGAACCTGTTGCAATTGGTTCCTAAAAATAGGAATCGGAACCGGAACCTGTTGCAACAGGTTTCTAAGAATTGAGAACCGGAACCGGAACCTGCAGGTTTCGGTTCCTAAACTGGGTACCCTGTCTGTCAAAGTAAGTTTAATAGTTACTTGATAAATTGTGACAAATTTTTTTTTTAAAATAGATGATCACAATAAAAGCTTACAACTTTAGTATAGTACTTCCAATATAACAAACCAACACTAATTGTCTAGAACTTTTAATACCATATAGGTTCCGGTTTCATGTACCCTATAGGGAACCTGTACTAACAGGGTACCCTACAAGTTCTAGATCCAAAATTTTATTACCCGGAATCGGAACCTGTTGCAACAGGTTCCTAATTTTATTACCCGGAACCGGAACCTGATAAACAGGTTCCGGGTTTGGAACCTGCGGTTCCGAACAGGTTCCGGTTCCATATCTGGGTACCCTAAATTTTTGCTCACCCCTAGCTAGGCGTGTGTAGAGCTTGTGAATGCGGAATTTTGTAAAAGGGAAGGTTTAGAAAGAGAGAGAAGAATAAGCTATTGCTTGAGAGAATTGATGATTGTTGATGAATAAAAAAAAGAAAATACAACCTTATTTATAGAGAAAATAGATTGGAAATGATAGAAACGAGTTAGAATTCGAATCGAAATAAAACTGACTCCTGTCGCGAACGATAGGACCCAACGTGAAACGATAAGGATCACGTATGGCGACAAGCTCTGTCGTTTGGCGACAAGGTTGTCGTTTGAAACTAGTTTAAAAGATAAAACGCGCTTTTTTATGGAATTCCTTTTCCTAATATAATTAAGTAGTTAAACTTCGTGTTTATCAATTTTAAATCAGATTTATAATAATAAAACACTTGTTTTATTTCATACCAAATTCTTTATTTCTTAAAAGATAATTATCAATCCTAACTTCATTAGAATTTAAAATAACCTTCTAGATTATTCTAGAAGATTAGAATCAATCCTTATAATTTTAGCAATAAATAATTAATGGGCCCTGCACTAGGTCATTGAGCCATAAAACCATTTCAGACCCAATTTAGTATTTTGGCCATAACTTCCTCATTATTCATCGGAATTGGGCTTACAATATATAACTTCCTCATTATATATCACTGGAATTGGGCTTACAAGAGAGAGAGAATCAAGAAATTCTTGATGAGAGTTGATTATTGTTGAGAATTGATGATTGTTGAGAATTGATGATCGAAAACAGAATTTTAAGAGGCTATTTATAGAGAAAATCAGTCGGATGGATAAAAAATCAAATCAGAGTTTCAACGAGAATAAAACACGATTAGCGCCAGACGCTGGACATTAGGCCTGGCGCTAAGGTGCTGAAGGTTAGCGCCAGGCGCTAATGCTTGTCGTCATACGCTAATAACCATTTTCACGTGTTTTGTTTTTATCATATCTTTTGATCCGGAAGTTCAAATAATTCATATAATATGTCATTGGAAAGATATTGCAGTCTAATTTCCAATCCATTTAAAATCAGATTAAAATATTTTGTATATAAAAATATATGGCCGAAATAGTGGAAGGGTGTCAGTTTTGGATACACTTTCATGTCTCATTCATATCTTTTTCGTTATAACTCGGATTTAATATTATAATATATCATTGGAAATATAATTTCAATATCTATCCAACCATATA